CACACACACACACACACAAACACACACACACAACTCCCAAACCCACTGATATTCTAAGAGAATGTGGTCGAAGACCAAGCTACGATTGAGTACATTTTCTGAATCTCAAAGAGTTTACATGTTAAAAAGAAAAGTTTAATGTAGTTTGTTTAGGTGACAATAGAGAAGAAATCGACTTCTGCCAATGGTGTGATAATTAGGTTATACTATCCTGTTACTCGTAGGGTAAATGAGTTGGAATTCCAAAGGGGGAGGGGGGTATTTTATCGGGTATCTCCGTGTCTGTCTGCTGGGATTGCATATTCCACTCTGCCCAGGTTGGCCTGGAAAAATACTTAAACGCAGACACTGGATAGAATAAGGTCCTCACGCAGGAATCAAACTCAGGTTTTCTGCATGCAAGACGAAGAACGGATATGTGTCACGACACAGGGGGATCAGGCGCTCGTCAGTTTCTGGGCATATTGAGTTATTGGAATCATCTTTAAGGTTATTCATTTACCCTGCTTTCGATGAAAAATATATCCATTTATCTTGATAAGAATCCGAAGATATTTGCGACTGAAGGAGGTGTGGTCGTCTAGTTTTGGAAGTAAAATTGGCGAGAAAATGACCGCCAAAGTGTTGTGACTTCCATAGCTTTAAAGTCCTTGGAAATTGCATATTTACATTGTTTGTGCCTTTACTCAAAGTTTTTCCTTAAAATCCGAACATAATAGTGTTTTTGAATGGACATACAAGGTGATGATAAAAAAAAAGCTCTAACTGGCAGAAAAATGCCGATTTCTCTGATTTCATTATTCTGACGAGCGCCTGGTCTCACAACGATACCTCACATGTAATAACCTTCACGTGCCACAGACGTGGATCCAAAGAGGTATATCAGAATTAATTGTCTAGAAGGAAGATTACGCCTCAGGAGCTGGCTATTTAAATAAAAAAAGCATAATATCATACACTTATTTCGCCATGTCACAATATTTTAGAGATCATCATCATCATCATCATCATCATCCAGTGCTAGATCTGCGACAGACATCGGCGATCGTGGTTCTCCATTCATTCCTTTGTTAGAATGCTCTTAAAAAAGCTACGTTTCCCTGATCTTTCCCTATTACCCATTTGTTTAGGTTCCCTATTTTAGAGATGCGACTGCTATTTTTTAAAAAGAAAAGAGTAACCCTTCCCCCAAAGCGATGGGTATGCTGCTGTGTTTGATGTAAAACGTGTTTTCTGTGCTAACTAGCGGTTAGGCTGTTAACTCGCAATAAAGATGCCATGGGCTCGAGCCCGACATGAGAACCAACATTGTATCCTTGGGCCCTTAACCCGAATCTTTCCAGTAATATCGATAGGCATGAGTCCCAGAAATTCGATTGTTTCTTTAATATTTAGCAGCTATGTTCATGTTTGTCTCTCAAATGGTTGTTCCTATACAAAGTAACTGTTCATGCTTGTCTCTCATCTATTTGTTTCTATAATTTAGTAGCTGTGTTTGTGTTGTGCTCCTCATATTATGTTACGGTTGTTTTTTTCTCACTTATATATTTAGTAAGTCTGTTCGTGCTATGCCTCTCACGTGAATGTTTCTATATTTAGTAACGTATCTGTTGTCTCCCCAGACTACCAGGAGATCAAGGCGGACATCTTGCGGCGGGAGCAGCAGAAACAGCACAGACAGAGCAGCAGCTTCCGGGAGGCCATACGCATGCTCAACGAGCGGGAGCGCCGGAATCGATCCCGACATTCCTCCAGATCGAAGCGAAGCGCCAACAACAAAAACCGTGGGGGCAACGGCAGGAGGAAAAGAACGTTTGACGTGTATCGATACCGCCACAATCGCCGGTCGTGCTCTCGCTACGAGATGTTCGTGGACTTTGAGGAGATCGGATGGTCTGGTTGGATTATCTCCCCTAACAGCTACAACGCCTACCACTGCCTGGGCGAGTGTCCCTTCCCGCTGGGCCAGAGCCAGAAACCCACCAACCACGCCACCGTCCAGAGCATCGTGCATGCCCTGGGCGTTGGTAAAGATGTGGGCACCCCTTGCTGTGTCCCCAACAAACTCTATTCCATCAGCCTGCTCTATTTCGACGATAACGAGAACGTGATTTTAAAACAGTACGACGATATGGTGGTCGCCAGTTGTGGGTGCCATTGAGATCTGGTCCCGGATTTGTCAGATACCCCTAGCCAACTTACCGATGAAAAAAAATGTTCGGTTGTGTTGGTTTTTATAAAACATCAATGGAACACTTCTAACGAAGGCCGCTTTTCTCTGTCTGTCTGAGCGTGGCGTCAGTGGTAGGCACATCAGAACCGCTGTAGAAATGATCGCGGTTTGAAAATGTTTGCACTGTGCATTTAGAAGGAGAACGCAAGCGTGGAAATGCCAATAAAATGTCTGTGTCGTTTATACAGACTGCAACTTATCTGGCGTCTATGGTGGAATGGTTTAACTCTCCACTGTTGCACCCAGAAGTTGTGGGTTCGATTCCCGAGTGGGTACCTTTTTACATCGAGTATCCCCGTGTGACTGCAAGAGATGATGCGCCCCCTGCTACCAGCCAAAGTTGGACACAACAGGCAGGGTCAAAACAGCTCTTATCCTAAATGATCTAAAGTGCGTCGATGGGGGTGTTCATAATTTTTTTTTAAAGAAAAAGGTAAGGACTGCTACTCTAAGTCGATATGCTTGTGCTGTCTAAATCGACAGTCGCGTTCAAAGACTGAGAACATGGAGAGTCATATACCTGCCGGACCAGCTACGCTGGAATAAAATATACGCAGGGTGAACTTTTCTTTACGTCTCGAGTTGATTCTATCCTGTAGTAAGGCTCTGGGGAGAAATGTCTAGCTGGTTCATTAAATAAAAGATTCTGTCAAAAAGTAAAGGCTGTGACGTTTTCCCCGATGACAGACACGACGCCAATAACGCTGTCACAGAGGCGCAGAGAGTATGCACCCTGCCTCCTTCATCAACCGGATCGACATAATATTAACTCACCCAAGACGCGCGTATGGTCTTTCGACAACGCTTGGACAAGCGCTGGATTTTGGCGGGCACTTAAAAAAAAAGAAGAAGCATAACTTCCTTATAATTTATGCAGATCTTTTTTCAATTTTTGTTTTGTTTTACGTGAAGCTGGAAAATGCGAGCAACAACATGCTTGCTGTGAAGTATGCAAATTCGTGTTTCATATTTGTGTATTACGTTTCGAAATGTGCCACAACATTGTCATTGATCGGTTGCTGATCGGATCATGTGTCTGCTCCGTTCTTGATGAGTTAAAGCTACAGTTACGTACAGTCCTGTAAGGTTCTCGGAGAAGATCACATTGTTCTTAGGAGCAGAGGGCGTCAATAGTAAATCTTCTGTGCTTTAGAGTGCTAAAGATTGTGCCATGTTGCTGGTCGCCTAGAGGGTATTACGGAAACTGTTGCTGAAAAACAGAAAACGAGAGAGACAGAGTGAGAGTAAGTGACTGTTCCGGACATGAAAACATCTGATCTCCATTGCTCGCTTGACAATAATGGAAAATGGAGATCTTTCCCGCTCTTCAACAATACCAGGAATGGTGAATACCGGATGTGACATCACTGCACCAGACCTTTTCTGTAACTTTTGCCGTCCAGGGCTGATCACAGTTTTGACGTCAAGTACACTTCGATGAAGGAATCGATCTGAGTGTGCGCCACGTTAGAAAAAAATATATGGTCACGTCTATCTCTCTCCAACTCTCTGTATCTGTCTGTCTGTCTCTCTGTCTCTCTCTTTCTCTCTCTGTCTGTCTATCTCTCTGTCTCTGTCTCTGTCTCTGCCTCTCTCTCTCTCTCTCTCTCTCTCTCTCTCTCTCTCTCTCTCTCTCTCTCTGTGTGTCTCTCTTTCTCATACTGAAATCAGTTGCAAAGCTACTGACAAGCAGACGGAGTGCCTGTACTTTACTGGTTCTAATCATCAAGAGAGAGTGAGACATTCACCCAGTCTCGTCATCAATAATTAATTGTTTCGCTTATTTACTCTCTAAAAAGCGCTTTGTAGAGCGCTCATTTCGATTATGATGGGTACCACAGTCTTGTTGTTCGAATCCAGCCATCTCTTGAAGGTTATAACACAATCTGTGGAACACGTTCACTGCCCACAACACAATTGAAACACATGTGTATTACAGCCGCAACACATTCAAACACGGGTGTGTTACATTCACAAAACATTGAAATACAGGTGTATGACATCCACAACACACTCAAACACGGGTGTAATACATCTGCGAGACATTCACAGACACTACAACACATTCACAGACACACAACTCACTTGGTGGCCAAAACGAAAAGGTAACGAACAAACCGTGGTGGATATCCATATAACTTATTCGCCATCGACGCCGGATAACGAATAATATCATGAACGCCTAACTGCAAACACATCGCCATGGTGGCATTAATTGTGTATTCTGGAACAATCTAGTTGTGGACAATATTTCGTGTATTCTTGAAAAATCTAGTTGTGACAATATTAATATTATTTTCACGTACTATTGAACAATCTAGTTGTGACAATATTTGCTGTTGTTTTCGCTTACTTCTGTGTATATTCAGCTGGTGATGTTGTATGTTATAAGCCACCGAATGCTGTCTCGTTGTTAGGGGCACCGCGTCCTTTGTGCTTAACCCATTGAGGACGCCCGTTCTGGTCACTCTTCAGCGCTTGGAGGTGCGCATTTTGGCAAAAGATATTCGGAGACGTCTCCGGCGAGCACCCAGGAACTATTCGGATACACACTCCCGCACACAGATGCATTGCTTTGGTGGGTCAAATTGCGTATTGTTTGCTGCAGATCACACATATAGCTACTAAAACTGTCGCAAATCAATTATTTTCAGGAAAATTTCAAACTTAACTGAAAAATATCAAATAATGGGTTAAAACAGGGGGGCATGCCCTCCTCTGTAACCCCCCCCCCCAATTTTTTTTTACTAGGTCCACAGGCACAAAGCATTTTGATTTGTCTGTCTCCGCCGGAGACGTCCCCGAATAGATACTGTGATTTCTGTGGCCCTGTTTTGGAGGCATAACTTCTTTACTCAGACAGATTTTTCGATTGTGTTTTTTTTATCTGAAACTGTAAAAGCCATGCACACTGTGAAATACTGTATGTTATTTTAGTTTTAGTTAGCGTTTTACGGTATTTGCTACTCAATTAGGTCATATAGGTGCCGAAGTTTAGAGGTGTTACAAGACAGTAGCAAACATTAAAAATAAGGAAGGGGGGGGGGGGGATAAGGACGTTGGATGTTTGATAGGAAAAAAAGGAGCAAACCATACCAGAGTACCCGCCAACCACCCACAACCTCGTATTTCTGAAGTAGATATTGTAGTTCGAAATGCACCGAAACATTGTGTTCGGTCTGCTGCTGCTGCTGCTGCTGCTTATTAAGTGCAGGTGTCGGCTAGGTCCTCAAAAAGTGAAACGTTTTAAGAAGAATTTACGTCTTTGTCTTGTCAATAGAGAAAGCTGCGAGAAAATCACCATAGTTTTGGCGGAGACGAAACTACTGTAGTTTGAACAAAAGCCCATGTGTAACGTAAAAGCTAGATGTAAGGGAAGGTCAACAGCACAGCGGCTGTGTTCCTGCGTCGTGTCTGTGTGTAAATTCTTCCAAACTTCCCCATCCAAAGTCTATCACTTTTGCTAAGCAAACAGATTTATATTATTATCCTTTCGCCTAAACTTTGCTTTCTGATTTCGAAGCCAGTAGATCTAGTGCCTTCACAGGCTTATTTTTTTTTTTGCAAGCTCATTTTGTGTGTGTTAAAAAAAAACCGCTCTTTCTCTCCCAACGGGACAACTGAATTGATGCCAACCGGATTTCAAACTGAGCGGGGTTTTAGAATTGAGGGGGAAAAAACCCCCAACAAGACCACACGTACTCAAACTCCCCCCCCCCCCCAAAAAAGATGGTATCTATTTGGTAAGTACTGCATTCAGAGTTTATCCTAAGGTCTAGAGAAGGAAGGATAATGCATCCATTACTAGACATCCACAATGACGCCCTCCAACCATCTGTAGCCCAGCCATGGAGAGATGGAGAGGTACAAAACTTGACATAACGTTGCATGTTTTAATTGTCTTACATCTTCTATTTAGGGTGTGAATGCGGCTTCGTTTCTGTGCTTAGCTTGAAAATGATAACGCCATTTTTAAACACTGTTCCTATCCGCCATGTTGTAAAATATTCATCTCTGTACATCATGAAAACGTTTTTGTAACTAACTGCTGTAAAGTGCGTCGTCTTGTATAAAAATTCTACTGATGTTTTGTTCACGTGCAAGTCGATTATGAAAGAGTCAACTGGTCTTGATGTGTGAGAGAGAAAAGTATCCAGATATGTAAGGGATTTGTATCACGTTATTTAGATATAATGAGCATGTATACGCCTAGTTCATGTATGTTTTGATAATTTGTTTGTAAATTTATCTGTTTTTCAAAGGCGTCATTTTGCAAAACAGCCACAGAAGATGTGAGAATGCAAAACGAAAGGCAGTTATATTTCGTCGACCAGCTATTCACATGTAGGGCCTACTTATAAAGAGCAATTTAGAATTTTTTTTTCAAAGTGCAGTTTCTCAATCTGTAGTATCGGTTGCAAGTGCTCGAGACATATTTTGTCTAAATTCAAATTTTAAATGTCGACAAAAGCAAGAAAACATACAAAATATTGGTATGGTTGTTAAGAGAACGAAAGTTTTCTCTCCCTCTCTCCTAAAAAAATAATAATTTAAAAAAAATTGCTTCCTAGGTTGAAGAGCTGGTCGACGGTTTATACAAGAAGTGTGTGACTGTGACGATGTAGATCTAGCTCGCTTTTCCCACGGACCGAGTAGGCGGGTGAGACTCGCACATACAATATA